GTCTGGGAGGATGAAAAACACTGACTTGTACATCGGCTGGCCCCCGCAAGTCATTGTATAGGCCACATCGCATTCAAACGCCACTACGAATGTACAAATGGAAGTAGAATGCGTGCCGCATCCCAAAAAGGGATTGATCAACGGCAAATGCTTTATCCTTTTTTATTAATAACGCTCGTAAGGGCACTACATGAACTCGCCTTTTACGATTTTATTACAAGCCGGTTCAGGATGAACCATGCACCTGAATTCTATTAGAACTGTACGGTGTCTTGAACTCATATTTGGCCAATTCATACACTAACCTGTACTAGCCAGCCGATGCGCGATTCAGTTTCTGTTCTTTTTTATCGTCTAGCGACTGTATCGATGGAAGGCCGATCAGGCCTGTGAGCGATCCTACCCGCAATTCGATTTTTGGAGCATGCGCCTGTTATTAACGCCCTTCCTCACTTGCACACCCGCCTACTCCTTTGTAAACAACTCAACTTCATTTACTAACACGTTGACGACATCGCGCGTTTTGGGTTTTTGCACCGCGTGGGACAAGGGCGCTTTTGCGAGCGCGGCCGTCACACCTCACACCCGTAAATTTCGAACGATAACCTTGGGAAGCTTCAAAGGTACGAAACCATTTCAGCAATATTCAATGCGTAGAAAGTAATCGAAGATATAGTAGCGAAATTCCGATCAAAAAACGTGAAATGGTAAAGAAAATTGGAATTCAAGTCCTTTTCTCTGTAGTGGATGCCAAAACTATTTTCGATGTGGATGTGTCAAGTGAAACATATATTTTTCTATCCCTTTAGGTTTGTATTTACTTTCACTACCTTTTCTCACTGACATGTTCATCAGAATAGGAAGAAAACGAGGGATGAACCGAGCTGCCAATTCCGCTGTGCTTAAAACGAGGGATGAACCGAGCAGCCAATTCCGCTGTGCTTCAAAAACTTCTGCTAAACTGGAGCATATTTGATCATACCGTGACCCATGTCGTTTACAGTTATGTTATGTTGTAATCCATAGAATAGAGGCAAGCAAATTGGGAAGAATCCCCGCATACGCTAAAAAGGGATGACAAGGGTGAGAC